GCTCCTTTCTGGTGGAAGTTTTCTCTGGTTGTTGTGATTAAGGCAGGGCCAGCTGAGAGAAGGAGGTGGACAGAGGGATTAGTGGACTTCCCTAAATTCTTGAGTTATTCTTCCCAAAGAATCTCCCGAAGTATCTGAGGTCCAGAAATACCAATGACTTTGGGGCTTAGAAAAATGATAGGCCAAACTTGCCTTAAGGCTAAACTGAATGTCCCAGAAGCAGACTCAGAAGCAAAGTTTCTCTTTCATCTTCACCTTCCCTCCTGTCTCTCACCTTTCATTCTCCCCCAAGGCAAGCCATAGAAACTGGAATCCCTCTTCCCCAAGGCAGGTCATAGAGACCAGAACCCCATTTTCCCAAAGCCAGTCATAAAGCCTAAAGCTATTACACTAATCCCACCCCCTACCCACTTCTCCTGTCCTTCTGTGTCACAGCTGGCCATAACAAAATTAATACCCTTATTCCAGAAAAGATCTATCACACACCTGGAAGGAAGTAAGGTGGGAGGCAGGACTCGACTCCAGAGGCAGGGCTTGGACACTGCACCAAAGGGAGAACTAGCTAAAACAGGGGCAGGGTGGAAGCAGCGTTCCATAAGACACGCCCTCCAGTGTGCCATGTTGGCTTACCATTGCTATGGCAACACCCAGCAGTTACCACCCCCTTCTATGACACTGAGCCAATGATGCAAAAGTTACCACCCTTTTCCTAGCAACTTCTGCATAAACCACCCCTTAATCTACATATAATTAAGAGTGGGTATAAATATGACTACAAAACTGTCCTGAGCTGCTAATCTAAGCACACTGCCTATTGGGTAGCCCCACTCTGCAGGAGCAGTAACAGAGCTGTAACGGTGCCAGAGCTGTAACACTCCTTCTTCAATAAAGCCGGCTCACCCTTGAATTCTTTCCTGGGCAAAGCCAAGAACCGTCATGGGCTAAGTCCCACTTTGGGGCTTGCTTGTCCTGCATCAGCAGGAATGCTGCACAGAGAGGGCAAGAAGCATCTGATAAGACAGGCCTTGATGGGTTTCCCCTCTCAGTCTGTTAGCATTCCATCAGACTTTCTGTGTAATCATATTTCTACAGAGCTGTTCATACTTCACTGAGCCTAAGCATAAACATGAAAAGTTTTCTGTGTATCTTCAGGTCTTCATTCTGAAGGCCTGAATGTCACATAAAAATAAGATCAAACATATTTGTTATGCTTTTCTCTTGTTAATATGCCTTTGTTACAGAAGTGTCAGCTCTGACCCTTAGGATGGGAAAGAGATCGCCCCTTTCCCACCCCTAAAACAAGGTAGCCTATTTCAGCAAATAAAGATACAGGACTCCTAGTGAAGTTTGAATTTCAGGCAAATAATAAACAATTTTTCTTTTTCTTTTTTTTTTTTTTTTAGTATAAGTGTGTCTCACTTGAGACTCACTTGAGACACATAAGTATGATAAGTCCTCACTTAGGGACAGACTTAATGCTCAAAAATTATTTGTTGTTTATCTGAAAATTCAAAGTTAACTGAATATCCTGGTGTGCGTGGCAGGGGCAGGCTAATGCAGGAGGAGAGTGCCCAGTCTCTGGCCTCAGACCACTGCCCTTGTGGAGTGGTCCCATCATGTGAAGGACAAATGTGACATTGCCCATTCTCAAAAGCTACTCCAGGTCATCAGTTGAAGAAACTGTGGGCCTCTTACATCTCTGACTGAAACAACGTTCTTTCTTCTTCTTTTTTCTTTCTTTTCTTTTTTTTCTTTTTTTGGAGACAGTCTTGTGCTGTTGCCCAGGCTGGAGTGCAGTGGAGCAATCATGACTCACTGCAGCCTTGACCTTCTGGGCTCAAGTGCTACTCCCGCCTCAACTTCCCGAAGTGTTGCTGTTACAGGCATGAGCTCGCCCTGTAACAACATTCTGTCTGTCTCTCTCTTTCTTCATTTTTGGACAGACACTGGATAAGTTTGTATAATATAAATAGTATCCTCTAATATAGAATATGCAGATCCCAAAGAAAAATCAAACCCAACAGGATCAGGAATCAAGGAGCAGCAAAGAAATATTTTTCCCATGGTCACCTGGCTTCCTGTCCTTTTTTGTGGCCTCTGGATTTAGGGACCAGTGGGTCGCTTCCTGGCTTTCTCCTCTTTCTAACTTCTGGTCCTCTCAGAAATTTCTCAGATTCTGCAGAATAAAAACTGGACTGCACAAAGTTTCTACATGCATCAGATAATTGCAAGCTAAATGTAACAACTAAGTGTTCAACCATGTTACATGCCCACGCATAATTCAAAAAAAAGTAGGAAGAATAATTTAATAAACTTAAGAGTTTGAAACCAATATAAGTAGGCTCTTGGCCTCCGAGGAAGCCAGCAAAAGTACTGTGCTTGATTGCCTTTACAAATCAAATGGGTCAGTATCTGAGAGCATTTCAAAGCCTTCGCAAAATAGAGTTGACACATCATAATCTTTTAATGGCATATATTCCCATTAGCATCAACTGCTGCATAAATAATGTTCATTATGGTGATTAGAAATGTTAATTTCTTAGCGCAATCATACTTTTCTTTAATCTTCTGTGGCAGTGTTTTTTTAAACTGCAGGTTATGACTCATTAGTGGGTCATGAAATCAATTTAGTGGGATATAATCAGCATTTAAAAGACTAGAATAGATTGAATAGAAAATATCCAATTTCACTGCATATTGCAATTGCATATTGTCAATGTAAATATTATTTCATCTACTTTAATTTCAATTTTCCAAATACATATGTGTAACTATTTGGTTATAATATAAAATGTATTTCGTATGGTATGTCATGCTGAAAAATGTTGGAAAACAACTATCCTATAAAACAACGAATAAATTCTAAGGCTAAGCCAAGCGTGAATCACAACTTAAAGTCTCACAAAGTCATGAAAGAGGGAGAAAATATTTTCAGTAGAAGATATTATAATGGCCAATATGTTTTTATCAATAATTGGATCACTTTCCCATTTGCTATGAGTTTTGTTCAAGGTTGTAAATATGGTGCTTCATTTCTTATCAGTGGGAAAGGGATGCTTTGTGTATCTCTATGCATAAGTGAGGGCTATGGGGTCAGACTGTCTCTACCATTTACTGGCCAACTTATCTTGAGCATGTTACTGAATTGCTCTATGCCCCAATTTCCTTATTTATAAAATAGAGCTTGTAAAATCTGGTAATTGAACTCTTGTAAAGAATAAACAAATGTATACATGGAAAGGGTCCAACACAGTGTTTGGTACATAGTAAGTTCTCAATAAATGTCAGTTACTGACATTATTACTTTAAAATATCTTTATTTGAGAATGGCAAATATAGGGTAAGTTATCTCAAATTTTTATTTTTGTCTCTGATAAGGGGAGAGTGGGGCCTGCAGTATGCTTTGTGGTTCAGTCCATGCCTGGTCCCTGGTCCTTTGATTCTTCTGCAAAGCCTTTGTATTTCTTAGTTCATTGGGATACAATGCTTTAGAGCAGCGGTTCTCAAGCTGGACACATGATATGATTCATGGGATTGCAAAACTTCTAAATTGCAATCAGGATTTTGAATGAATGTGTATATATACACTTGGAGAGTGGGTGAAGAGAACTGACAAACTAGTATTGTCAGAGGGGTCACATGGTATAGTGAAGAGTTAGACATACTCGGACCTAAGGCCAAGCTTACTAAATAGCATTTTAACCTTTAGCGAGTTACTCAACTTCCTGTAGCTCAACTTACTCCATCTGTAAAATGGGGATTAAAAATAGCTCGTATATCATTTGGTTGTTGAAATAAATAATGTTTACAGTATTTGTAAAGAGTTTAGCACGTAGCACATGATGGGTCCTCAAGAGAACATTAATAGTGGAAGAAAAGTAGATACACTGGAAAATGAATGAAATAGTTGGTATTCTGAGTTTTAATTTTGGAATGCTGAATCTATAACTGAATCACTGAGTAATCCACTCATCCCTTCATTTATTAAACAAAACTTGATTGAATGTTGCCATATGTTAAGGATTGTGTGAGATGTTAAGAAGTTAGTAATGAATGACACACATTCTCTGCCCTATCTAGGGAGATGACAAACAGGTAGTGACCAACCATGATGCTACAGCAGACCAACAAACTATGGAGCTAAGAGAGAATGTAGGAGACATTTCTAACTCACAACCACATTCAACAAGGTCTGTGGTTTTGTTTTGTCTTATAGTTTTCAGTTTGAATTTCAGCACTGAACAGGGGAAACTTCCTTCTGTTTATGTTAACACTGCTAATTATTAGTCAAATGTAATGTACCTAGTAAAGCACAGGAAGGATTTAATCCACAGAACCTAAAGGAAACTGCTCTTCATATGGCTCCAAGGATGAGAACAGATAGATGAGGACTTTGTAGTATTGGGACTAGAGAACAGGACAAATACCCACCTTCAAAACAAGTTACAACTCAGAGTATTACCATTTTTGCCTTGACTTCCAGGAAGCTTAAATTTAATGCTCTATTATAACAAGTACAGTACCATAATTTTTTTCTTCTCCTCCCTCTCAATGGTTTTTAATTTTCCATTTTAATGTATTATTGTGTGTTTTAAGGTATTTATTATTGTGTGTATATATATCACACACACATATACACACACATATGCCATATCAAATGGTTTTTGAAAGTAGATAGGGTAAAAATTACCATTAAATAACCTCAGACAACATTGCATCTTACATATTACTTCAGCCTTTTTATTTATGTATGTTTATAATTCAATGGACATAACTAAACTGCAGTATACTTAAATCTTACAAAATCGAGTCACACTATAGCATCTATTCTAGGAGAATTTAATAGCAGTAACCATCTTACAGGAGAGACCCCTAGGTTACCAATAATGTATTGTGTCATAGTATCATTTGGGATTATATCTATTATTAGGAGACATAAGGTCACTGTATTAATTTGTTTCAATTATTTTCGCATTCTCTGGACACAGACACTCTTTTACCTTTGAGTAAAGCTGTCAGGATAGCTAAATCAATGTCCTGGTGTCCTTCTGATCCCATCCGAAATACCGTAATCTGCAATTTGAGACAAGGTGATCATTAGCAAAGCATTTTTCCCCCAAGAGAAATTAAATCAATGAGACCACATCTGAGCAGAGACTATCTCTATATCTACAAAGTAGATTCTTAGCCACAGGGCAAGCACACATAACAAGAATCTGATGAGAGGGCTCTGCGATTTATTAAGAGGGAGATGCCTCAGTAGTTTCCAAACACAGACCACTTATAGTTGCACTGATTATGGTCATAACCATATGTCCCCCATTATGGTCTAATGGTTGTGTTCCCCCAAAGTGCATATGTTGAAACCTACTCACCAATGTGATGGCTTTAGGAGGTGGGGTCTTTGGGAGGTCATTAGGTGATGATTAATAGTCATCATAAAATTAGTGCCATTATGAAAGGCCTCTCCCTTCCACCTTCCACCACGTGAGGACACAGCTAGAACTGCTGTTTATGAACCACTTGAATCTGTACTGCCTTGATTTTGGACTTCTGAGCCTCCAGAACTGTATGAAATGAATTTCTGTTGTTTGTAAGCTACTCATTTTATAGTATTTTGTTATAGCAGCCTGAATAGACTAAGACAGCCTGCTCCCCCAACAAAAAAATAAAACTATGATTTTGGGGTCCTTGCTATGAGTCAGGCATAGCAATGCATATTTTAAAATATGTTACCTTCCATTCTTTCTGGTTTTATGTAAATACATAAAATAATTATATGAATTACGTGAGGATGGATACATATGACTATGTAATCTAAACACCATTAATATGAACATTTATATTAGATATAGATGGAGAAATTAATACAGCTAAGCCGTCCAGTTCCAGAACTCCTAAATTGTACAGCACAGCTGGTCACAGACCCATTTAGTAGAGCAGGGGATACTTCAAGCAGAGTAAGTGGGTAAAGTCCATTACAGTGTTGGTGGAGTACATCTGACTTTGTATTTGGCCCTAGAACACTGAGATTGTCACAGAGTCCATAGATTGACTGATGTGGACATACAGTGGCTGACATGATGGAGTATCATTTTGTACATAAACAACATAGTTATGTGGCCTCAGGCATAACTTTCAACTTCCAGGGCAGTGATAACTAATGGCAGAGAAGGAGGGAAAGGAAAAGTTCCAAACAATGCTTAACCATAATGAAGAGTTTGTTTTCCAAGTCAGAGGAGGCTATAGGAAAAAAGCCAAAATATTGCTTGAATATCCACATTGAGTTATTATAGTACTCAACTGTTTCATGCCTCAAGCTTATCTCTAGAATGAGATAATAATAGCGCTTATTTATTTCCAACCACATAGGAAGTAAACAATCAGATTTGCTAATCTGTAAGTCTAAGTTTTATCACTATGGTAGTGAGAATAGACACACAGAACCACAGACTGTTAATTAGTTGCCTCAGAAAACTTCTAGATCACCACCTAAGGACAAGGTAACTTGTTTAAGGTCACATAATGAGCTAGAAGAACAGCTGTGACTGGAATTGAATAGCTCTTACCTTTATAACTTGGGCCTTAAATATTGGGGAAAAAACAAGCAGAGGGAAGAATAAGATAATATGAACACTTGACTCTCGTACCTGTTTATGTCCTAAGGTCAGAGCCTGGGAGGAGGGTAAGGCAGAAATTGCAAATTGAAATGCCTTTATAGATATTTGAACTAAAAACAATTTTTTTTTTTTTTTTTGAGACAGGGTCTTGTTCTGTCACTCAGGCTGGAGTACAGTGGTACGATCATAGCTCACTGCAGCCTCAGTCTCCTGGGTTCAAATGGTCCTTCCACTTCAGCCTTCTGAGTAGCTGAGATTACAGGCATGCGCCACCATGCCTAGCTTCTTTCCTTCCTTTCCTTCCTTTTCTCCCTTTCTGTTTCTCTGTCTTTCCTTTTTTTTTTGGTAGAGATGGAGTTTCATTATGTTGCCCAGGCTGGTCCTGGACTCCTGGTCTTGGCCTCCCAAAGTGCTGGGATTATAGGTGTGAGCCACCATGTACGGCCCTGATCAAAAAACTTAAAAAATACAAAGAGCCAAACAAACTCCATCTATCTGCTATGTTTGGATCACAGGTTATAGTTGTGATCTCTTCTGGTAAGGACCATCAGGTGGAGGTGTGTCCCAATTCAATTAAATTTTCCAGAAATCTGCTTCTGCATAACCACAGGTTTGGCCAAGACGCCATCTGGACATTATCCCAAACAGCTATTAATACCCCCACAGTTTCCACTTGGAAGTTGAGAGGGAACTATTCTATCCTCTGAACTCAGGAAGGGATTCCTGAATTAAGGGGAAAATTTGGGGTCCACTGGAGAAAGAACCAGGGGACAGAGGTGAAATTTTGGCTGGCCCTTTAAGTAAACTCTTTAAGCCAGGGCTGGCTATGGTCTGAAAGATATTATCATGTATCATGTACTTGCCTGGCAGCAAACTGAGGACACTCAGGATAACATCAGAGTTCATTGTTCAGAATTAAGAAATTAGGCATCAAATGGAATTCCTTAACCATCTGACTTGTTCTGCTGATGACTAAAATTTTGCTTCACAAAGGTCACATTTCAGATGGAAATTCTTCTGAGGCAACAAATAGATAACATTAAATTTACCCTGAAATACAAGATTATCAGGTTTTCCTAGCAACAGATTTATTTGAGGTTGGGGAAAGGAAGATGGATAAATGCGGTGTTTCTGAAGGGTTTCTGAGGAAAGGGCCTTGGAATATTATGGTAAAACAGGGCTTCACAGTTTTTCTGGAAAACCAATGTGGGGGCAATTGTTGCTCCCCTGTTCATGCCCCGTCCTTGTCCTGGTTTCAGAACCAAAGCACCTGGGAGTGACCCAGGGTGTGGGAGGAAGGATGTCTTAAAAAGAGGAAAAGGGAGGACCAAGGGGAGACTGGAGGCTCCAAAGACAAAGTTACATTATAATCTTGCCTGGACTGACCTGAGATACTATGTATTCATCACCACTCCATTTTTATTTTATTTGAAATTTGAATGTTTGAAAATATTAATTACACATTTTTTTTATATAAGCTTCAGAAAAAAAAGTGAAAGAAGAAAAACTAAGGCCTTCCTTTCCTATCACCCCTCAGTGTTGGCAGAGATGGAAAAAACAGGTATTCTTAAATATTCTTGGAGGGAATGTGAATTAAAATAGTAGTTTTGGGAGATGATATGTTGACTTAAATTCCTTGATTTTGATGCGTTATTCTTAGCAACACTGGATCTCATTTGCTAATATTTTATTTAGGATTTTTGCAATGATGTTTGTGAGTGAGGTTGGTACATGTCACCAGTCTTATCTGGTTTGGGTATTAGAGTTACTCTAACTTGCTGAGTTGGGAATGTTTTCCCCTTCATGTAGCAGAATAGTCCCTATAACAAAGTAATTCACCACTTCTGGCAGAGTTAGTAGGATGTTTATATGCTATTTGGTGCTGGACCATTTTTACGGATAGATTGCTGATCATCTTTATAATTTATTCACCACTTATTGATCCGTTTAGATTTTCTGCCTCTCCTTGACTAAAGTTCATGTTTTTCTAGATAATCGAGCATTTCATCAACATTTTGCTAAATGTTCCTTTTAGGATGAAATAAAATATTAGCAAATAAGATCCAGTGTTATTAAGAATATCAAAATCAAGAAATTTTGTGTTGACATATCATATCCCAAAATTTCAAATTTTCACATTTATTGCTGTTTAGTTGTACATAGAATTCTCTTACTGTTTTAAAATCTCTTTTACATCTAGAATTACATGGCAATTTTTTCATTTCTATTTTTCACTGTATCTAAATCATGGTCATTTCAAAGAATCAGTTTTTCATTTTATTGATCAATATTATTATTATTGTTATTTTCTGAGACAAGGTCTCACTCTGTTGCTCAGGCTGGAGTGCAGTGGCATGATCATAGCTCACTATAACCTTGAACTCCCGGACTCAAGTGATCCTCCCACCTCAGCCTACTGAGTAGCCGGGACTACAGTCATGCACCACCACTCTTTCCTTGATATTTAACTGTTTTAGAGATGGAGAGATGGAGGTCTCACTATGTTGTCCAGACCAATCTCAAACTCTTGGATTTAAGCCATCCTCACACCTTGGGATGTGATTGGGATTACAGGAATGAGCCACCATGCCCGGCCCAATATTATTATATACAGTTTAAAGTATTACTTTTTATCATTACCCATTCATTTCTTCTACTTTTGCTTCCTTAGCTGTTCTTTTCCTAGAATCTTAAGTTGACTTCCTAGTCAATTTATTCTTGTTCTTGTTTTCTAATTAATGCATTTAAAATTATGTATCTCACATTTTTTATATACACTTTGTCATTTTCATTCATTTTTAAATGTATGTAATTTATTTCCTTTTACTAAAAATTGTGTTTTTAATATTACAGTGGATTTATATATATCAAACCCTATACATATATATGTTTATATGGTTAGGTATATTTATATATAGGGTATATATGTGTATATATTACATATATTAATATATGTAAATATACATATGTATAATCACATATATACACATACATATGTAAAACCACATATATGTATATATACATATATACAAATTATATATATACATATATACAAATTATATATATACATATATACAAATTATATATGTATATATACAAATATATCATTATTATATACATACACACGTATATCATTTGTTGCCTGCAGAATATTTTATTACATGCATGTACCATGACTTCTGCTAATGAACATTTGGATCATTTTCAATCTTTTGCTATTACAAACACCATTGCAGTGAATATCTGTGTATGCGCATGGGTGAGTATATCAGTAAAATAAACTTTGTAGATAGGGAATTTCTGAACTTACTAGCTACTCTGAGGGGAGTTCTTTAATTTGTTACTCTGATTTTGCTCTCAGGGCCCTTTCCTGTTCCCTGTCTTTATTTTGGTTATGTATGGTAACTGAAATAACTGTTCATAGTGTATACTTTTCTCCTAGAATAATTTGGA